CTTTCTTCTCTCTCTCTCTCTCTCTCTCTCTCTCTCTCTCTATATATATATATATATATATATATAGTCAAAAAGAAAACTACAAACACGATGCCCGTAAAAAATCCAACATATTTTATCACTGCCTCCAAGATTCAAATCTCTAGCATAAATACATATTTACATAGATGAAGAAATCAAAACAATCAATACAAATATTTAAGTGAGAATCATCATAATCGTATGCATCTATCACAATAACTAATCGAGAATCATCATAACCCTACACATCTATCACAATAACTAAGCAGCCCATTTCACGATGAAGCAAGCCCTACGATATGGCTTAATCACATGAATATTGTTGTGCCTCAAATACCCACTAACTTCAACACGCAACAATCCCTACTCCAAGCCATGGAACAACAGCACAATCTAGAACACATTTTTAATGCCACCAAGCAAAAAATTTTCTCCAAAAAAATACTAAGCCAAATAATGTTGCACCCATTATTTTTTTTATTTAGTCGTCTACAAACAGTTAATATAATACATAGCAAAAACCAAAAAGTGATGTCCACAATAAACACATGAACTCAATTAGCTTGTGGATTGGCAGGAAGATCACACAGTTCTAATATCAATCATATGAAATTGGTTAGCTAGGTATATTCTATGACCACGAGAGCAACCATATTTTTTTACAATGCATAATATGCATCTATCAGTCCCAACACGACATACGTGATGGGAAATACTTGGGAATCATTGTAATCAGGAGTGATAGTCTATCCTAAATTTTAATGTTACGACCTTAAAAAAATAATAAAAAAAAAAACCCTAAAAATGATAAATAAATATATAAAAATTCAAAAAATAAAAAAATGACATGTTTATTACCCTATGTTTCCCCACTCCATACATGTTTGTTATTGTACAAAAAATAAAAAACTAGAAACATAAACAAGTGCCATGGAGTTGAAAAGGAAGCTAGAGAGAGAAAGGAAAGTCAGAGACAGTTCCATAATGGCCTTAGTTTGAGGGGGTTCATATAAGACCTGCATAATAAATGTGTTCACACTTGAAATG